TCATCCGCACTGTCTCCTACAACATCCTGGCCGACACATACGCCCAGACTGAGTTTTCGCGGACGGTCCTGTACCCGTACTGTGCCCCTTACGCCCTGGAACTCGACTACCGCCAGAACCTTATCCAAAAGGAGCTCACGGGCTACAACGCCGACCTCATCTGTTTGCAGGAAGTTGACCGCAACGTGTTTACAGACAGCTTGGTGCCGGCCCTGGAGGCCTTTGGGCTGGAGGGCGTGTTTCGAATCAAGCAGCACGAAGGCCTGGCCACTTTCTACCGGAAATCCAAGTTCAGCCTCCTTAGCCAGCATGACATTGCTTTCCATGAAGCCCTGCAGTCTGACCCACTTCACAAAGAACTGCTGGAGAAACTGGCTTTGTACCCATCAGCGCAGGAGAGGGTGCTCCAGAGATCTTCTGTACTTCAGGTAGAGTAACTCCGCCAGTCTCTACATACTCGTTCTGGAAGGGGCGCCGCGGCCGGGGGTGCTTATAGAGAAGAAACAGTCCAGATTTTACTGAAAGGTGTTTGCTCTTGTATCTTCAGCACGTAGTTTAGCCTTCCTTCCTTCCTTCATCATTGAGCAGATACTTATTGAGTACCTGTAATGCGCCAGGCACACTATAGGTTGCCTTGAACAATACAAACAGGAACTTTTCATAGTGCTTATGATTTAGTGTTTAGCTAAATACAATAATTTAATAGCTAATATTTTCTTACTACTTGCCAAACACTGTTTTGACACATTTTAAAGAATTTAAAGTCTCTGGCATGTTGTACAAAGTGCTCCGTAAATATTAGCTGTTATTTTAATTTTGGCTCATAGTAATCCTACTGTTCCCATTTTATAGATGTTATTCTAAAACTCTGTTGTCCAGAGTTTTTAGGTAGTTGGTTTTGTTCATAGTAAGAAGAGCAGCTGCCATTTTTTGAGCACCTACTGTGTCTCATGCACCTCTGAGTAAGCTTATTTAATTGAATCCACACAATTAAATGTCCTCCTTGAGGTGGATCATATTGTCTCATTTTTACTCATGATGAAGCTGGTTTAGGAAAAAGAAGTGTCCCTCTCCAGGTCACACTGCTGTAAATGGTAGAGTGGGTATTCAAAGTGAGTTCTGCCTGACTCCAAAGCCCACGCTTACCCAGATAAAAACATGGGCTCCAACCTTAGTGTTGTCATCTAAAATGTATTCATGCTACCTCTGTGTATTGGACTGTTACTAAAATGTTATGCTGAATCCCATTCATTTATATTCCAAAACTTAAAATTAAATTTCATAATTTCAATCATACTTCATAAGCAGGGAGGCATATGGAATAAAATGTCAGTTCATCATATAGTTTTAGATTTAAAAAAAATTCAGATTGGGAAATAGCATCTGAACTTGGCATTTTCTGTTTATTTTAGGTTTCTGTTCTTCAGTCTACAAAGGACTCGTCTCAAAAGATATGTGTTGCTAATACCCATCTCTACTGGCACCCCAAAGGTAAGTTTTATTGGTTTTCTCAAGTGGCTTGAACGTGGTAACATAACGTCGGTAAAAGCTGTTTTACACAAATACATCTTTTGAGTTTTATTGAGATATAGTTGACATACAGCGCTATACAATTTAAGGTGTATGGCATAATGACTTACACATATTGCAAAATGATTATCACAATAAGTTTAGTTAAAATCTATTACCTCATATAAATACCCCCCAAAAGGTTTTTTTCCTTGTGATAACTTCTGGGGTTTACTCTTAGCACCTTTCAAATATACCACCCAGCAGTGTTAACTATAGCCATTGTGTTGTATATTACATCCCCAATACCATTAATCTTATAACTGGAAGTTTTACCTTTTGACCACCTTCATCCATTTCCTCCCCACACATACAAATACATATCTTGACTGTCACCCAGATACTGTGGTTTGTGAGTTTTTTGGTTTTTTTAACTTAAAGGCAACTTTAGAAAGTACTTAACATTAATGTTTTTTATATTCATAGGTGGGTACATTCGTCTCATTCAAATGGCAGTAGCCTTGGCTCACATTAGACACGTCTCTTGTGATCTGTATCCCAGCATACCAGTTATATTTTGTGGGGACTTTAATAGTACCCCATCAACAGGAATGTATCACTTTGTCATCAGTGGCAATATTCTAGAGGATCATGAAGACTGGACTTCCAATGGGGAAGAGGAACGATGCAACATGTCTCTTACCCATTTCTTCAAACTGAAAAGTGCTTGTGGTGAACCTGCTTACACAAATTATGTTGGTGGCTTTCATGGATGTCTGGATTACATTTTCATTGACTTAAATGCTTTAGAGGTTGAACAGGTGATTCCATTACCTACTCATGAAGAAGTTACCACCCACCAGGCCTTACCTAGTGTTTCCCATCCCTCTGATCACTTAGCACTTGTATGTGATTTAAAATGGAAATAGATTTGTGTCTGATGGAATTTAAATCTGCTTTAGTAGGAAATTTAATATGAATCAAAGCTATGTGTAACCTTCAAAGAGGAAAACTAGGCACTAAGGTAAAATATTCTTACCATGCAAGTTATGTTCTAGTGTCTTCATTACATGACTATCATAATGGTTGCATAATATAGTTTCTCTACCCTTTTTTTTCTACACTTGGAGGAAAACAAATATATTTATGACTAGCAAGAAGAACATTGGGTACTTTTTATACTTTTTTTTAGTAGTAACTAAGAATTTTGTAAAAAACCATTTGAATGATCCTGTAATTTTTCTATCAAAACACATTTCAAATTAAATCATGTATATATAATTGGGGGAAAGCACATACAAGTTAAAATGAGAGGCTTATTCTGACACATGGAAGGAATAACATTAGGGTCTACCTCTACCTCAATTTGGTTAGCAATTTAATACAACTTCAGAGCTTTAACAAAAAATTAAAATATACCAATTCCTATTGCTTCTCATCTTTCATTTTTCAGTTATCATAAGGCATCTTCATTCTCTTTTAGGATTTTAATTTTTAGTGTATGGTACAAATGGACATATTTATATTCCCATTCTTAATTGCAGCTCATTTTAACTTTCAGTATGCAAGCACAATTTAGTATTTAAAGTGAACAATAACATCATCGTCAACTTGATCCTGTTGTCTTTAACACCCTTGCCCATGGAAAATGTTCGTAAATCAACAGGGTATTTGACATATATTAGACTATAACACAATACATTAGATATGAGAAACTGCCTATCGATACAGGCCTGCAGTTGTGGATGAACCATGGGGCATTTCTGTGCTACAAGTATTTTCAAAATTGTTGTTTTTTCTAAATAGGAAAAAGGGAGAGTAGTAGTGGGGCGTTTGAGCATCTCTTGAATAAACTTCTTATAGACTTGAGCATTATAGTTTGAGTTACAGAACACTGTAATTACATACTGTAAAAAAAAAATTAAATATGAAGCCAAACTCTTGAAAATTACAAAGTATAGTTTTACTGATTAGAGTCTAGCCTAGAGTAGTAACTGAGCTTTTCTAACTCAATTATCACCATACCTTATTTTTAATGTTTTAGCTGTTGCGCTCTTGTTCAAAAGAACCAAAATGTTCTCGTTTTTCTGCATTTAACTTCTAAGCTTAGATAGCTAGAGCTCACTTCAAGAGCTCTGATTTTCCAGTCATGAAGGCCTTTGTTCCACGTTTAGTCTCTAACCCAATACCATAAGAACTTTCATCTTTTGACAAAGTAACCTGTATTTTCATATTTTGCTCACTATCCAATGTATTGTTTACTCTTAGTAATTTTGAGAATGAGAGGGTTTTACTTGCACTTCAGATTGAACCTTGAAGTGCTTAAAAGCATGTGCTGGAAAAATTAGGGTGGCAGTTTCTTGGGATCTTGTTTAGAAAAGGCTGTAAGTGAAAAATTGATGCTACCAAATTGTGCCTTCCTAAACATCTTGAGAGCATTTTTTAACATCAGTTTACAAATATAGAAATAATATATTGAAGCCAGAATCTGATTCTTTTGCAATTTTTTTCCCGTTTTAATATTTGGTTTTGGTTTGCTTTCAAACAAACATGTTGACAGAACTTACTACAGTAAGTTGAGAGAAAAAGTTTAAGCAAAAAAGTTGAGAAACATAAAAGAAAAAAGTGTAACATGACATCCTCATGCCCATGAGAAAAACATACAGGTTCTGTATTAACACCACGGCTAGCTAGATGGAACTCTGGTCAGAAAATAGAATATTCTAAACACTTATCAAACATTCCACATCCTGATACTTTAAATTGATATTTGCTGACTAAACAATGATCAGATTGTACACAGGCATTTCAGAATATTAGAATATAGAATATTATTTTGAAGTGCATATACTTTGGTCAAATCTCTAGCATATAGATATGTTAGTATGGTTAGTCCAAATGTAGGGAACACTAAGAAAACTGTATAAATAGCATACCAAAATGTCCTTGTATATGAGCTAGAATAAAGTGTTATTCAGAAATGTTTGTTTAAAGCCATCTCTGTGATTGAATTTTTCTATTACATTTAGATTTTTTTTAGTACATTTAATTATAAAATATGGAAAGTAGTGTGAACCACATTTTACGATGTAACAAGTTCTTGCTATAGGAATTAACATTCTGAAAATTTTGTTATCAATGACAAACTGCTATTACAGAACATATTATCCTGTTAAATGCTTTTTCTTTTTAATTTTATTTTTTTATTATTATTATTTTTTTGCGGTATGAGAGCCTCTCACTGCTGTGGCCTCTCCCGTTGCGGAGCACAGGCCCCAGACGCGCAGGCTCAACGGCCATGGCTAACAGGCCCAGCCGCTCCGCGGCATGTGGGATCTTCCCGGACCGGGGCACGAACCCATGTCCCCTGCATCGGCAGGCGGACTCTCAACCACTGTGCCACCAGGGAAGCCCTAAATGAATTCTTACACAGTATGTCTTATACAGACATACACACTGGTAGTTCATAATTCATTAGTGAACAAATCATTTCTGGCTATGTGATGTTCTTTAAAATTCTAGAAACTAAAATCAGTTGTTTCAAATTTTCAAGAATTTTACTGGTTGGTGACGTTTTTGAGTCATCAAAATGTGGTGGTTTCAGTCCAAAGGTAGATCTCTGAGCAACATAAGGGGGAGAAGTCCAAAGAACACTACTGTGGGAAAATCACCCTGCTGGAAATTGACACCTTTAGATCTCACATTCTCCAGCTATGAAATACAGGCAGAAATTCCCTACAAACTAGTCTGAGACAAAACCAAAACCCATATATAATGAAAGATAAAAGTTTGCACTACTGGTTTATCATAAGATCCACATGGCAACTCAAAAGGGAAAATCTTTCCTAACAGCCAACCAGTTTTCCAAACATAATTCAAAAACATTTAAATGTGGGAATTCCCTGGCAGTCCAGTGGTTAGGACTCTGCGCTTCCACTGCAGGGGGCAGGTTCAATCCCTGGTCAGGGAACTAAGATCCTGCATGCCACGTAGTGCAGCCAAGAAAAAAAAAAAAAAAAAAAAAAAAAAAAAAAAAAACAATGACATTAAAAACAAGAAATCAATAGAGAAAATCAACTAAACCAAAAGCTGGTTCTTTGAAAAGATGAATAAAATTGATAAGCCTCTAGCCAGACAGGATACAGATTACCATTATCAGAAATGAAAGTGAGGACATCACTACACATCCCATGGACTTTAAAAGACAGTTTGGGGACTTCCTTCCCTGGTGGTCCAGTGGTTAAGACTCCATCCTTCCAATGTAGGGGGCTCGGGTTTGATCCCTGGTTGGGGGAGCTAAGATCCAACGTGCTGTACAGCGTGGCCAAAAAAAAAAAAAAAAAAAAAAAAAAAAAAAAGAAAAGGCAGTTTGATCCCAGTAAATATCTGGAAATAATTATTACTACATATGAGACAATTCTGTGTATACACTAATGAAAATGAAGTCTCAGTAAATGAGACACTGATACTCTGGAAGATTAAGACTTACGTTTTATTTTCATTGAAGAATATATAAGGTAAAGGGGGGAATCCATGGAAGCAAACATGTAACAAAATACCACGACAGAAAAGCAACTGAATGATTTGAGAAAAAAGACAATGAGGAATATTATGGACAACAACAAAAAAAGCCTATTAACAGAGGGAAAGAAAACAGAAAACGGTTCTATCCTCAACTCTGATGTTGCTAGTCAGCCTTTAAGGGAACCACAATCCCTCTTCAGCTTCTTTGTTAACATACTTAACAATTATTTGACAGAGTATTTTTTAATCTGTGGGTATAATCAACTGTATAATACGGGAGGGTCACAGAGACCTCTTTTTGACTGATCAACACTACGTTTAACATTTGTGTAAACAGTAAGCAATGAATATAATGTCAAGTATTTCGTAAGAGTACTGATCATGTCAATAAATCAGGACAGTGATAGTGATTTTATAAGTCTGCATTGTTTTCAAAGTGTTAAAACACAGTGAAAGGCATTCTAGGGATTACCTCTCAATTTACACTTTTTCCCAAAGCATTTACTCACTTCTACTTGGAAAAAATGGAACTTCTCAATTTAATTTAAAAACAAAAACAAAAAACTACCACCAGGACTGAAGAAAAATAATTTCTTGGGGTAAAAACATGCCAAATCGGGCTTCCCTGGTGGCACAGTGGTTGAGAGTCCGCCTGCTGATGCAGGGTACACGGGTTCGTGCCCCGGTCCAGGAAGATCCCACATGCCGTGGAGCGGCTGGGCCCGTGAGCCATGGCTGCTGAGCCTGCGCATTTGGAGCCTGTGCTCCGCAACAGGAGAGGCCACAACAGTGAGAGGCCCGCGTACCACAAAAAATAAAAACGAACAAGCAATCTTGCAAATCTTTACTTAACCCATTTACCAAAAATTAGGCAATTTTAGATTCCTAATGCAGCCATTTCCAACAATGGTAGTAAGAGCTGCCATATCTTGAAAGTAAGATTATATGGATTCTCTTTATTCTATCTTCAGAGTTCATGAAAGCATCTTTGACTTACTTGGTTTAGTTTTTTTAAAATTAATACAACAATGGTAATTTAACTATGATCCTATCACTGAACCTCTGAAGTTCTGTATCCCCTAGTTGAACCCCATAAAAACCACACATATTATATACCCTTATCTTAGTTTTATCCAAGAAATGAGACCTTTCTTATTTGGAGGGAAGAAGGAAGAATTCATCAGGTGGGCTAGAGAAGATGCACTTACATGAAATAACACAAGTTTAGCATACACTTTCTCCCAGTAACCTGTTTCACAATCACCAACTACTTAATTCTAAATTCCTTTGGCTTTGTCCAGTAGTTTTTTTGTTTTGTTTTTTTACAATTCAAATATACACATTATTTTACAAGCATGTATTGGCTTTGAAAACAAGATTCCAATCCATAAATTTATCTAAATCTAAGCCATTAATAATCATAAAAATGCAAGGTTTATGAAATACATAAAACGTTAGATTATAGACAAAAACTAAGTTACTCATAAGGTTAACAAGTTGAGTTCTTAAGAAATTAACAGATGTAATTCATGAGGTACTACCCTATGACAAAGATTTAGTCACTTTCTGCAGAAGTTCTGAAATTTGTGAAGCTAAAAAAGAAAAGTGTTTGTGAACTTTGTTTTCCTACATAGGAGAGCAGGATCACTAACAGTCTATGTATTACGAGATACAAAAAACACTTGAATTTTTTTTTAAACGAATGTTAGCTGTGAAACAAACACATGCATACATACTTTGGGAGCAGTTCATTTTATTACAGCTTTTTACTCTTGACCTGACTTTAGAAATGTACAGCATCAAAATGGTATTTTATCAAAGAAAACTAAATTCTTGAAATTGCTCCTCACTCTGTTACACACAATAGCAACCCACATTTTATTTCCAATTCAAACAATAAATAAACTCACTGGGATCTTTATTATTGTTCACAGTATGTAATATATGCAAATCAACTAAGAAAAATCTATTTCAAACATCTTCAAGACTCAAGAAAAACAAACACCATTACATGTTTTATCATTTTATTAGGAATAATTCCAAATGGGTTATGAAGAAAACTTATTCATTGAGTCTGATGAGTTTTCCAAAACTCTTAATGAAGACATGTTCACCAACAAACAATAAAACATCAGCAGAACTATCATATACTGGGCCAAGAGTCAGGCTGATACCAAAAGCAACATGCAACATAAAAAAGATACAATATAAAGGAAGACAATCTGCTGAGTATTAAAAATCATCTCAATATTAACTCTTTGCAACTAGCACAGAACTAAGTAGCTATCAAATCCAAACCACACCAAGGTAAGGTTGGCTGATGGAAGCCAGGAGTTAATAATGGGAGGGAAATATAAGTTCCTCAGTGCAACAGATCTGAATAGTGTTTTGGAGCATTTTCCTGGCTGGTACAAGCAGTATTAAAAAATCTTTTTTGGCAAGGGAGAAAAATAAATACAAATGGAATGCTACATTTTTTAAATCAGCAGACTGTCCCAGGAATGATAAACGTATCAGTAAAGTAGCAAGGGGATAACTTTAAAACATTATTTGTTGTGGGCTCAAAAAAACATTCAAAATGGATTTATTTAAAGGTGTCACATTAGCTATGTCCAGGCATTTAGGCTTAAGGGAAGTAAAATTAAAAGAGGACACATTTTTCCCCAAGTTAAGAGAATCTCTTTAAAACCAAGCATATTGCTAAATGGCAACATTATACTTGGTAAACAATAATTGGCAACAAAATAAGTTTAAACGCTGTAATATTCTGCCCAAACCAGTCCCACATACTGTTTAATAACCAAGATGCAAACTAATTTTGTTGTAACAAGCCTAGACCAATTCTATCAAACATGTCCTTGGTTAGATATCCAGTTTCAATTAACGTTTTGAAAGCTCATTTGACAGCCAGTCAAGTCCCTCATACAGACCGGTTCCTTGTGTAGCACAAGTGGCTTGAACATACCACTGTAAAGAAAGGACAATGAGAAAACACTTGATTAATATAACCAGTGTTTAAAATTCCTTACTCAGAAAATTATTTTCCAGGGGTATTAGTGAGCAGGTGCCATAAATGTATAGAGAAAAAAGGAAAAATACATAAAGCCATAGCAACTAAAGTTGTAAATGTGTTAAAAGTATATTTCACAAATGATTAATTTTATATTTAATGATCTCAGTAACTGTATAGATTAGAACTGTTCTCCTACCTCTTGCTTCTCACAAAACTCCTCTCATATCTAAAGCTACTACTACCCATTCATTACATTTAACCAACTACTACTTAATCTGAAAAGAAAATTCATGGGAAGATTAGTAACTAATAAACTACCCACCTGGTCCTTATGATGCTCTTGTTTCCCACAAAACTAAGTTCAGAGTAGAAGAGGCAAAATTTTGAAAGAGTAGGGATTATTGATATTTTAGAGGCAAGCTTTTTCGGGAGTTTCACTATCTTTAGTCTCATGTACCCCCACAAGTTCCAATCTTTAAAATGTTTATGAATATTATCTTCAGTAACTGTATGAAATGCCATGAAAAGTTTCAAGTACCAAGAAAAAGACCTAGAAAGCAATTTAATTACCTTTCAGGGATGGTTTATTAATTTTCTTTACTGACCAGTTTTATTTTGCCTTAAAATAAAGACCTTGCTTTAATGTTGCAAAGTCACTTCAAGTCTACCATATGCTGCCAATTATTACTTTAATACCAAAGACCCCAATAACCTAGAAGGCTGGGAAAAAGGCATGAATTCATATCCTCACAGCATGGAAAATTGCATCATTTACAGTCTGTCTTATTTAAATTGGGCTGGGACATCTTAAACACTGTATACAGTTATTGCCACACCACAGTTTCACCTTGTTGACCAGTTAATGAAAAAATACTGTAAGGCACAAACCATAATAATAGTTTGTGATATCATCTTTATAAATAAAACAATATATTGTATTTCGCCAATATTTAAACCACTGATCTCAAATTGTAAAGCTATTGGAGAGCAATTAGATATTTTTTATAATTTTAAACTCAAAACTTGTTTAACATCATAATTACAGGTCCCTCCACAAGCTCTTAGTGCTACCACGCACACAGTACAAAATATTATCTAAAATATGGCTGCTAGGGCTTCCCTGGTGGCGCAGTGGTTGAGAGTCCACCCGCCGATGCAGGGGACACGGGTTCATGCCCCGGTCCAGGAAGATCCCACGTGCCGCGGAATGGCTGGGACCGTGAGCCATGGCCACTGAGCCTGCGTGTCCAGAGCCTGTGCTCTGCAATGGGAGAGGCCACAACAGTGAGGGGCCCACGTACCACAAAAAAATAAAAAAATTAAAAAAATAAAGTAAAATATGGCTGCTAAATATTGCAGTTTCAATAAGAAAACCCAATTACAAAATATTTGCTGCAGTTATATAAAAGATAAAATTTAAATTAAGACTATAGATATGACAATTCTCATACAGTACAGTTTTTCACATCTTCATCAATATTAATCATTTTGAGGATAATGTTAACAAAAGTCAAATGAAATAAAGATATTTAAAACCTTTGGATCCTTAAAGGATATATATTAAAAAGTTTAAAAATGGAGAAGATATCAACGTACTTTAAAGTTGAATACAACATTTACAAAGGTTTGAAATAAAGCCTGAAAGGGCTCATTTTTATATAAGCAAGAGTCTCTTACTGTAGTGTTTTTTTGTTTTTTGCTTTTGGCTGTGCTGCCAGGCATGTGGGATCTTAGTTCCCCAACCAGGGATTGAACCCGTGTCCCATGCATCGGCAGATGGACTCTAAACCACTCCGCCACCAGGGAAGCCCTCCTGTAGTTTTTTAAATGATGTGCTCATCATCTATTTCAAAGGGGACAATTAACTAGTAAATGTTTAAACTAAATATCAGCTTAAACAATTATCCTAATAATCTAATAGTCAGGAGATTAATATGGAACTCCAAATACTTACTGTTCTGTTACGAAGAGACTGAAGACCTAATTTATCTGTCATTTCACTAATAGCCATAGCATTCGGCAAATCCTGTTTGTTTGCAAAAAGCAGCAACACAGCATCTCGCAACTCATCTTCCTGAAGCTGAAAATAAAGACATTAACAACTACCAAACTGGAATCCAATTATTGTAACAAACTAAGTAAAACAGGCTTCCTACGTATATACATCATTTATTCAACATTAAATACATTATCAAACATCAAATCAACAATCATACACCTTCAAGTAAAGCAAAACTATTTTCCAAGTCAATCATCCTACACTCCATTAAGGTAAATCATTCATTCAGTCTTGATGATAATCCATGGAGGGTCAGGATTGGCAAGGACAAGAAACACACATGGGAATAAACATTTATGGCAGGATCTTATGATACTGAGTAGTAAACATATTTAGACGATGATTCTTTTTGGACTTTTACCCTTTCCAGCCAGTTGGATCAAACGACAGTGGGAAAACAATACAGTGATTAGGGCATTAGTAGTATCATGTAAAATACAAGAATTATACCAAGAGCAGAAGCCAGTGGGAATGAAATACTGATATATGGCACAACACTTGGAAACTTATGGTAAGTGAAAAGAAACAAAAAGTTTAAAAAGGTAACAAAAGACCACATATTTTATGCAGGCAAGGTAGAATGGGGGAAGGAATGGGGAACAAATGCTAATAGTTATAGGATTTCTTTTTGGAGGTGATGAAAATGTTCTAAAATTCAATTGTAATGATTGTACAATTTTGTATACTAGAAACCACTGACTTGTACATTTCAAATGAGTGAAGTTATGGTATGTGAACTATATCTCAATAAAGCTGTTTACAAAAAAAAAAAAAGAGTAGAAGGGGTAATAGTTAACTGAGACAAAAAAAGCACCAGTTACACACATACTGGCACAATGGTTTTACAAACTGCACTCCAGTCTTAGGAGCACTGAATGAGAATATTTCAGTAAATATTTTACACCTACAAGTCTGAAACCATGACAACGTTCCTCAGGCAAAGTTCCTCAACAATTTTCCCCCTCAGGATTTTTAACAGTATGAACATATGAAAACATTTATCCAGTATTTGGCAAGGCCAAAATGCCACCATCAACCAAAATGCCACATGCCTTAGGTGGAATTCTTTTACCATGATTGCTATTATGTAACATTTTGAAGTATATTTTATAGGTATAGTATAGAGAAAACTGAACGCAATGACCTTGGGAACAAGGGATTTGAACCAGGATTCCTAGGTCACAAAAGCTTCAAAACTGGAGATTTTATAACTAGAAAATAAAAGACTGGACTAAAGTAAAAATCCTCAACCAGAGATATGCATCAAAATCACCCATGGAGCATTCTACAAACAAACTGGGCCTTCCTCCCAACTTACTGAAGTAACTGCTCATCCGTGAGTTTTTTTAAAAGCTCTACAGATTTTTATGTGCAGTCTTAAGAACCTGTGATAATATATAGTTTTTCAAGGTTATTTCTAGCTCTAAAACGTTGATTTATATAATCAAATTACAGTTAAAATGTACCGACCACTAATACCACCACTATCACCCAGAAAAACATATCTTGGAAATGATAAATTTAAAAACTATTCTCACCATTTTCTGCAGCTCTTCTGCTCCTTCCTGAATTCTTTCACGATCATTGCTATCTACCACAAAAATAAGACCCTGAAATAAATTAAAAGTTAAATTTAAAGCACACACTAAATATGAAACCTAAGTACATATGCAGCAAAACCATATCAAGAGTTAATAACATGTTAGGAAGAAAGTCTCCTTACCAAAAAAACAAAAAACAAAAAAGGAAAACACAGGGCATTACAGATTTGAGCACTATTTGTGATTTTAACTTATCAATGTTATTTGCAAAAAAAAATCTACCTCTTAACTGACCACTTTTTTCAACTATGCTAAGAAGAATAAATTCTATCCCTTTCCCCTACCTTTGCACATTTAAATGCAGGTAAGTAGAAGTAACAAAATGGCCACAAAGCGGGCACAAAAGGAAAAACAACAATCCACAGATCCTAAGGATTCATGAATTTACTAACTGAATTACCTTATTCAAAAGCATGCACAAAATGAAACTAAAAAAAGAAGCAGAAGGAGTGCACTACAGTAGCTTTTATATAGTTCATCAGGAAAAGAGAGTCTTGCTCTAGAATGCTGCCTGCCAGCTCTAGAATCAGGAGAAGAAAGTCTTCAGCAAAATATATCAAGAAAAATTCAAGGCTGACTTGATCGAATAAGAAATTCTTAACAAAAAGGAAAGTAGTAACCATTCTTAAAGATATTCAAATATTAGAATTTTATACTACAAAAGAAGTGGAATTGGGAAGGAATTAATTGAATTAAGACTCTTCCAAAAACTTTCAAATGGGAAAATGCATAAAATTTTCAGTTAGACACAGGGCAGATTAATTTTATAGCTTTGTTAAAATCTATTCCTATTACACTGAAGTATATTCTTTGGTATATACACTAAAGTATTATTTTCCCCACAACCCTGACCCCTAAAGTATTTTTAATCATATGTCACTTTATCATAAACTGTGTTGTGCCACTACTGATTTGTGTAAATCACCAGATTAAATCCACTGAGGGATTAATCCCCTCAGTATCACCATAGTACTGAGCTTGCCAGGGTGCTTAATAATTATTTTAGGCTATGGTCATTAAATGAGATAATTTCTTTTGGTCTAAAAAACTTGAAACCCATCTCCTTTATCTCTGCAGGAAATCTTAATTTTTAAACATCCTACCCTTTGAAAAAAATTTTGGTTCTTTCAGAGCTAGTATGGCATAGTGGGAAGATACCAAATTCAATGTTTATTAGTTATATAAATTACCTAATCCTTGAACATGCCTCCTCTTCTATAAAATAAAATACCACCAATTTGGGCTTCCCTGGTGGCGCAGTGGTTGGGGGTCCGCCTGCCGATGCAGCGGACACGGGTTCGTGCCCCGGTCCGGGAGGATCCCACGTGCCGCGGAGCGGCTGGGTCCGTGAGCCATGGCCGCGGAGCCTGCGCGTCCAGAGCCTGTGCTCCGCAACGGGAGAGGCCACAACAGTGAGAGGCCCGCGTACCGCAAAAACAACAACAACAACAAACACCAATTTTTTAAGCCTATTTTTAAACATAATCATAGAGGTATAAAAGAATGAAGCATTGTCCTTGGCATATCACGGGCGTTTAGTAAATGTCTCCTCCTTTTCCTCCTATCCCCAAAACCACTCTTATTTAGAACCTACTTCTCTAGAAGAGGTAATGCCTCTAAAAGAGATCTAATTTTATCTAGACTACTAACAATCCGTTTTTATCGTTTTAAAATGCAAACAACACTGTCAGTCCCAAAGTAACATTACTGAGAGGGAGGATTATTTGAGAAATTCTAAGTTATTCACTTCCTGGGACAGCACAATCAAGAGTGTAGAAAAGCTAGGATTCTAAAGACAGCTACTCTAAGAACAGATTACTTAAAAGGTGAAATATTTAGAACAGGAAAATAATTTGAATTATATAATGAGGTAAGAGGAATTTACTACAATAAACACTGTGTCCTGAATTGCTAATAAAAGTTAGAAGCATGGTTAAATGGAATAATTAGTTTCTTTTAAATTTTACAGCTAAAAGAACTGATCATGAGTGCTGCAAAAGACAGCTTTAATAGCTTAGCTGTGATTACATCAGGCAACCTTGATGTAAAGCTTTCTCCGGCAGCCTTGAAGTCCCTAGGAAGTACTTGGATTTCTGTGGGGTTTTAAGATTTTTTTTAATTTGGACCATTTTTAAAGTCTTTATTGAATTTGTTACAATATTGCTTCTGTTTTATGTTTTGGTTCCTTGGCCATGAGGCATATGGGATCTTAGCTCCCTGACCAGGGAATGAACCTGCACCCCCTGTACTGGAAGGCAAAGTCTTAACCACTGGACTGCCAAGGAAGTCCCAGAAGTACTTGGACTTTTGATTCTAAGGTGGTCCACAGAGGCCAGGAATGGGTCTAACTTCAAGTTAAAGTAAATTAAAAAGCATTCTAAACAAGTCTAGGGATAAGAGCAGGGTTACCCTTGGTCAAGAATTAAAGGCTTAAAAATAAAAACATGGAAACAACCTATATGCCCATCAACAGATGAATGGATAAAGATGCAATGCGTATATACAATGGTATATTACTCAGCCATAAAAAAAGAATGAAATAATGCCATCTGCAGCAACATGGACAGACCTAGAGATTATCACACTAAGCAAAGTCAGACTAAAACAAATACCATATGATATCACTTATACGTGGAATCTAAAATACGACACAAATGAACATATCTACAAAACAGAAACAAACTCACAGACATAGAGAACAGACTTGCGGTTGCCAAGGGGGAGGAGGAATGGGGGAGGGAAGGATTGGGAGTTGGGATTAGCAGATGCAAACTAGTATAAATAGGATGGATAAACAAGGTCCTACTGTATAGCACAGGGAACTATACTCAAAGTCCTGTGATAAACCATAATGGAAAAGAATATGAAAAATAATACATATATGTATAACTGAGTCACTGTGCTGTACAGCAGAAATTAACACACTATAAATCAACTATACTTCAATAAAATTTTAAAAAATAAAATAAAAAGAATTACAGGCTTAGGATTAGCAGTTTTACTTCATACCTAAATGTATTTAAAAAGCATGTTCCCTAAGTGAAATGCCTATGACTTACTTTAAAATAATCCAAAAGGTGAAATACATTATAAAGGAGTACTGATTAAAGAATACTGGCCATATCCTAATAATTGAAGTTGGGTAATATCAATAGATATGTGGGAGCTTATTATGCTATTCTCTACATTTGTATACATTTGAAAATTTCCATAGTAAAGTTTTTAAAAGCATGTAACTTATATCAAAACATCTTTTCTGGGGCTTCCCTGGTGGCGCAGTGGTTGAGAGTCCGCCTGCCGATGCAGGGGACACGGGTTCGCGCCCGGTCGGGGAAGATCCCACATGCCGCGGAGCGGCTAGGCCCGTGAGCCATGGCCGCTGAGCCTGCGCGTCCAGAGCCTGTGCTCCGCAACGGGAGAGGCCACAACAGTGAGAGGCCCGCGTACCATAAAAAAAACAAAAAAAAAACAAAAAAAAACAAAAAAAAAAAACATCTTTTCTAACCACAGCTTTGTTAATGAACAGAAACATTTTAATTTTTAAATAAAAAAAGTATGCCACTTACTTAACATGACATGCTACTTAAACCTGGTTGTTCCAGCCACTCACCTAGTGTATTCACTGCCACCCAGTGGCAATAAACATCACTTGTCTACAATGTTATAAGAGCTGGAGATCAAGAAAGACATCTGTACATCTTAAACATATGAGGTGCTTCTAACCTCATACATTATTTTTTAAAAAATTTATCAACTCCAGTAGTAAACAAAAAATGATAAGAAACCTCTCGTGGTAGAAAACACCACAGAGTTGGGAACTACTTGAATAAAAAATGTAAAACAAGAATCAGCTCTCCACTCTTAATTAAGTCATTCCAAGCTTCAGTTTCCTCATATATAAGAGTTAGACTACCACAGTAGTTCTCAAGAGGGAGCAATTTTGTCCCCAGGAAATATTTTGCAATATTAAATGGAGACATTTTTGGTTGTTGCAACTGGATTGGGTGGGGGAGACTACTACTGGCAACTAGTGTGTAAAGGCCAAGAATGCTGCTAAGCATCCTACAATGCAAAGGAGAGCCCTCCCCTCACTCAATGACAAAGAATTAACCAGTCTGAAATGTCAACACTGCTGCTGTTGAAAAACCCTGTACTAGATAGAGCCTTGCTATTCAAAGTAAGGTCCCAAACCAGCAACATCAGCACCACCACCTGAGAACTTGCTAGACATGAAGTATCTCAGGCCTTACTCAGCCAAGCCCCACTGAATTGATCTGTATTTTAACAAATACCCAGGTGATTCATATGCAGATTAACATCGGAGAAACACTACTGATGTCTAGTTTATATCCCCAGAGATTCTTTTTTTTTTATAACATCTTTATTGGGGTATAATTGCTTTACAATGGTGTGTTAGTTTCTGCTTTATAACAAAGTGAATCAGTTATACATATACATATGATCCCATATCTCTTCCCTCTTGCGTCTCCCTCCCTCCCACCCTCCCTATCCCACCCCTCCAGGTGGTCACAAAGCACCTAGCTGATATCCCTGTGCTATGCAGCTGCTTCCCACTAGCTATCTACCTTACGTTTGGTAGTGTATACATGTCCATGCCTCTCTCTCGCTTTGTCACAGCTCACCCTTCCCCCTCCCCATATACTCAAGTCTGTTCTCCAGTAGGTCTGTGTCTTTATTCCTGTCTTACCCCTAGGTTCTTCATGACATTTTTTTTCTTAAATTCCATACATATATGTGTTAGCATACGGTATTTGTCTTTCTCTTTCTGACTTACTTCACTCTGTATGACAGACTCTAGGTCTATCCACCTCATTACAAATAGCTCAATTTCGTTTCTTTTTATGGCTGAGTAATATTCCATTGTATATATATGCCACATCTTTATCCATTCATCCGATGATAGGCACTTAGGTTGTTTCCACCTCCGGGCTATTGTAAATACAGCTGCAATGAACATTTTGGTACTTGACTCTTTTTGAATTTTGGTTTTCTCAGGGTATATGCCCAGTAGTGGGATTACTGGGTCATATGGTAGTTCTATTTGTAGTTTTTTAAGGAACCTCCATACTGTTCTCCATAGTGGCTGTACCAATTCACATTCCCACCAGGAGTGCAGGAGTGTTCCCTTTTCTCCACAACCTCTCCAGCATTTATTGCTTCTAGATTTTTTGATGATGGCCATTCTGACTGGTGTGAGATGATATCTCACTGTAGTTTTGATTTGCATTTCCCTAATGATTAATGATGTTGAGCATTCTTTCATGTGTTTGTTGGCAGTCTGTATATCTTCTTTGGAGAAATGTCTATTTAGGTCTTCTGCCCATTTTTGGATTGGGTTGTTTGTTTTTTTGTTATTGAGCTGCATGAGCTGCTTGTGAATTTTGGAAATTAATCCTTTGTCAGTTGCTTCATTTGCAAATATCTTCTCCCATTCTGAGGGTTGTTTTTTGATCTTGTTTATGGTTTCCTTTGCTGTGCAAAAGCTTTGAAGTTTCATTAGGTCCCATTTGTTTATTTTTGTTTTTATTTCCATTTCGCTAGGAGGTGGGTCAAAAAGGATCTCGCTGTAATTTATGTCATAGAGTGTTCTGCTTATGTTTTCCTCTAAGAGTTTGATAGTTTCTGGCCTTACATTTAGGTCTTTAATCCATTTTGAGCTTATTTTTGTGTATGGTGTTAGGAAGTGATCTAATCTCATACTTTTACATGTACCTGTCCAGTTTTCCCAGCACCACTTATTGAAGAGGCTGTCCTTTCTCCACTGTACATTCCTGCCTCCTTTATCAAAGATAAGGTGACCATATGTGTGTGGGTTTATCTCTGGGCTTTCTATCCTGTTCCATTGATCTATCTTTCTGTTTTTGTGCCAGTACCATACTGTATTGATGACTGTAGCTTTGTAGTGTAGTCTGAAGTCAGGGAGCCTGATTCCTCCAGCTCCGTTTTTCGTTCTCAAGATTGCTTTGGGTATTTTGTGTTTCCCCAGAGATTCTGATTCAAGTGGTCAGGTGTTATGATCAGGGCTTTGGGATTTTTAAAACTCCCCAGGTAATTTTAATGTGCAGTCAAATTTGAGAATTCCTGCTCTACAGGATCACTAAGGTCTCTACCATGCCAGCATTATACATACTACATGATAATATAAAAATCATGTACAAATCAACAGAGCAGATCTACCTTAATATATTTTTTCTTAATGTATTTTAATAAAGTAAACACTTAACTGGGTTAAATGAAGGGCTATTAATTGTATTACATTCATTTAAAACTACAATGACAGAAAGTTATACAGATCTTACTTCCTAAACTAAGAATGAAACCAACAGAACTACTGATGAAACATCTAATTCAACCCTGAGAACCACCCCACCCCATCTTCCAAAATATTACTACGATAATTATGTAACTCTTCCACCCTAGGTAATTTAGCCTACAAAGGCATGAATGAGAGAGTCCACTGAAGAACATGGAAGTAGTGATAAAAAGAATGCCAACTCATGGAGTAAACACCAATATTCAAGTAAACAGTATATATTAACATAAACTTTGGAACATGAAACATATAAAGAAAAGTTATAAAAATGTATAGCATCCCTAACTTACCTGGGTATTTTGGAAGTAATGCCTCCAGAGAGGCCTAATTTTATCTTGACCACCAACATCCCATACTGTGAAACAAATGTTCTTATATTCTACTGTTTCCACATTAAAACCTATAGAGAAGAAAGAAAAAAAAAGTTTGCTGTGCACAATGTCATTCAGAAAATAAATCCCTTTATTGTGGAATTCTCCCAGAATTGCTTTTTTTAAAAGTCCTAATAGATAATCAACAAACGTTAAAAACCCAAGACAGTTACAATGATGGCTATATGTCATTGTATATCTGTCCAAACCCAAAGAATGTAGGACAACCCTAAGGTATATGGACTTGGGGTGATTACGATGTGTCAATGTAGGTTCATCTACTGAGTGATGCTGACAATGGAGGAGGCTATGCATGTGTTGGGGGAGTGGATATATGGGAAATCTCTGCAGTTTCCTTTCAATTTTTCTGTGAACCAAAAACTACTCTGAAAAAAAAGTCAGAATTAAACTATATTCTATTTCATTTTATAATACATTATTATGATATAAATTAAAATCACTGTAAACTTTCTTACCAATGGTAGGAATGGTGGTGACTATCTCTCCTAACTTCAGTTTATACAGAATGGTGGTCTTGCCAGCAGCATCCAACCCAACTAGAAAAAGACATTTCAGATTTGAAATCTAGACCAAAAGCACACACTAAGAAACAATTTTACAACAAATTTTTATTTTGAAAGCAAAAGCTGACTGGTCAAGGCACAAATGAGTTAGAAATGAAATCACCTCATTTCTGATTCCCAAAGGCAACACCTCCTACAAAAGCCTTTCCATTTTTCTTTCTAGACCTAGAGAGACAGCACAAGGTCTAATCTCAAGATCTGCTTTGCCACACAATAGTTGCATGGCTTTAAACAAATCACTTTAGGAAAGAGGCCAGAGAAATCAGCTATAAAATAAGGGGACTAGATCAAGTAATCTAAGATCTCTTCCAATTCAAGTCGTCATTAATTCTATGAACTACTACCATTTTTAAAAACACAAATTATAGGGCTTCCCTGGTGGCGCAGTGGTTGAGAGTCCGCCTGCCGATGCAGGGGACAAGGGTTCATGCCCTGGTCCGGGAAGATCCCACATGCTGCGGAGCGGCTGGGCCCGTGAGCCATGGCCCCTGAGCCTGCGTGTCCGGAGCCTGTGCTCCGCAACGGGAAAGGCCACAACAGTGAGAAGCCCGCGTACCGCAAAAAAACCCCACAAATTATAAGTTGAATCAGAGAACACATAAAAACAAATTAAGAACTATCTTTAAGATTCAAAAACTCAATTTCCTTCAATATAACAAGCAAATTTTAGGTAAAAGGTCTTGATGCTAGGGGAAAAAATATATATGTAAGAAAGGAAGATGAGGCCAATTTTACCCCTATCTAAATCCATTTCAACATCAAATGTGCAGAAATGATAACAAAAGACTGGTTAATTTGGGTTGTAAAGAAGGCCTTGTCATATTCATCTCCAATATAATGTCTAAATTCTTAAAATAATTCCTTTGAGGCAGGCAGATATAAGTAGGGAGGAATGTACTTGTTTCCAAAAAAAAAAAAAAAAATCCATACTACAACAAGAAGGTATAGAAGAGGGTGAAGAGCAAATTAAATGTTTAAGTATGAATCTCTGAAAAGCTGCATATTCTACATTGTTTGCTAAAGCCTTCATAAATGGAAGGTCAATATCTAAAAACCTCACTGAATATTATTGGTCTAAGGATATCACATTTGGCCACCTAGATTAACACTATCACAGATTTTGAAATCAATTCAACCGAGTATTGATTTAAGCAAGGATAGTTTTTCGTGTTTTTTTGGTTTGTTTTTTAAGGATAGTTTTGTTGTTGTTGTTTAGTACCTATATCAGAGCATGACTTAGCACAGGAAACCCTTGCTTAAAAAAAAAAAAAGATCTCCCTGGAGACTCAGGCATTTTATGCTTTCTTACTCCTCTATCCTCTGATCAAACTCTGTTCCCCATTCTTCATACTGAGATTGTTTATTCTGTCCAAAATACTATGACACTTCCTAGTCAAAACGAGTAGACTTCTCACTCACGGGCATAAGAAAAACCAACTGTTAACAGGAACTGTTTTATGTTTTAACTACAGAACAGAAGAGCAAACATATCAGAAAACATAATTCTAAAAATATACAAAGAAACAAAAGCAGTAGAGTTTGGCATCTTCAATAAAAATATAGAAAATGAGGAGGTGAACAACAGGATCTTTTCATTGTTAGAAAAAGCTAAGTCTCTTGAGAGCCTAAGTCCTCCTCAGGAGATTTTGATCAAATTTTAAAATAAAGCAAAATTCACCTTTAGCTAAGTCCAAATACCATTAGCCCAGGTAGGAAGAACTGAAACTGAAATAATGATTAGAAAAAACACTTGCGTTAAGTTTTGAGAACTAAGGTACACACCAGTCCTCACTGGTGGTCCAACTTGACCTCAGACCTTAGTTTAAAAAAAAACGTAGGGCTTCCCTGGTGGCGCAGTGGTTAAGAATCCCCCTGCCAATGCAGGGGACAGAGGTTTGAGCCCTGGTCCAGGAAGATCCCACATTCCGCGGAGCAACTGAGCCTGTGCACCACAACTACTTAGCCTGCGAGTCACAACTACTGAAGCCCGCACTCCACAAGAGAAGCCACCGCCATGAGAAGCCTGTGCACCGCAACAAAGAGCAGCCCCCGCTCGCCGCAACTAGAGAAAGCCTGTGAGCAGCAACGAAGACCCAACGTAGCCATAAATACATAAATAAATAAATAAAATAGTGTTGTATAAATGCAAACCAGAAGATTTTTTTAAGGTATTCCTATTGTGAGATTTAAGATGCACAAATTAATGTGTATCATCACTCATTATATAGTTCCTCACTCAAAAACATGTTGGTCTAACAATTCTGTGCCCATTTAGTGATTTCTTAAGTATGTATTTCCTTAATGTTGCAATATTTGGCAATGAAATTTCTCCACAAAATGAAACTATAACCAATTCTCAACTAGCCAAGATAAGACTCTAATCTGTACAGTCCAGTAATGTCCTCCCCTCCCTCTCACCCTCATAAACAAGTCACCGTTTTGAAAGATATACTGGAATTACTTGTTCTCCTTGACTGGACCTGCACTTTAACCAAAGTGTTAAAAGCAGCAAAACTTTCCCCAAAATCTTTGCCAATCATTAAAAAGTATGTCTACCAAATTAAGGCAGCAAGAAATACTTATATTTTAAGTTTTAAAATTAGATTCCAATTATCTCAACTTGGGAGAAACAACCAAACACAGAAAAGAAAAAGACTGAGAAGAAAAAAAGTATATTTTCAGTTAAGTTTCAGTTAGGATATTTTTCTTCATGTTTTGTTTATCTTTCAAATTTTCTACAAGGAAGCTTGAAAAAAACTTCATAATTTTTCAATAATTAAAAATTGAGTGCTTATTGTGTTCCAAACACAATACTAGGTGATTCCATACATTTTGTAATTTAATTCTCACAATAACTCTCCATTTTTCAAATGCAAAATCTGAGGTTCAGAAACATCCCCAGAATCACAGGAGTAGTAAAACAGATTTTAAAACCCTAGGTCTTTTGGAGAAATTAGATCCATATATAGCTGTGGGAATGGAAAATGGTGTAGCTGCTTTGAAAAAGTTTGTCAGTTCCTCAATATGTTAAACATAGTTAACAACGACCCAACAACCCTATTCCTAGCTTATCTACCCAAGAGAATTAAAAACATACGCCCACACAAAAACTTTTCATGAATGTTCACAGCAGCATAATTCATAAGAACCAAAAAGTGGAAACAACTACACTTCCATCAACTGATGAATGATAAACAAAATGTGGAATATATCCATACAACAGAATTACTATTCAGCCATAAAAAGGAATGAAGTACTGATACATGTTATAATATGGATGAATCTTGAAAACACGCTAAGTGAAAGAAGCCAGACACTAAAGGCCACATATTGTATGATTCTGTTATATGAAATATCCTGAATAAACAAGCCCATAGAAACAGAAAGCAGAAGAGTGGTTGCAAGAGGGAGGAGTGAGGAGGGGAGTGACTGCTATCGTGTGTGGGGTTTCTTTCTGGGCTGATGAAAATGTTCTAGAATTAAGAGAGTGGTGGGAGTTCCCTGGTAGCCTAGTGGTTAGGATTACGGGCTTTCACTGCCCCATGGTCCAGGTAGATCCCCAGTCGGGGAACTGAGATCCCGCAAGCTGTGCGGTACCGGGGAGGGGGACAGTGGTAATGGTTACACAATTTTATGAATATACTAAAAACCACTGAACTGTACACTTTTAAGGAATAGGATGTGAATTACATCTCAATTTTTTTAAATTAAAAAGAAACAATCCTAAGTCTGATGCCAGAGCTCTCAAATAGTATTCATATATTGCCATCTTGCCCTTCAGTTTTTTTGGTGGACACACACTATCTTAATATTTTATCTAATTCCTTAGAGGTTTGACCATCAAAACTGAAACTGAGGCTACCAGATACACAGAAAAACTATAATGACCTTGAGTTCTGCTTCTACCTAACAGGTCAGGAATATCAGCACTCTCATCAATGTGTTAATTAACAGCAAATTATCAGCCTCTGATAGTCATACTTTATAATAATGCAGGAGGGTACACCTAAGGTTGGTTGTATCAACTTCTAATGGCATGAAGCTAAGGATTTTTGCCTTTTCTATTGTTTACCTATATCACATAACTAATCAGAAGACACCCCCCCCTTTTTTTTAAAGGCTGGCAATTATGTTTTCAACTAATGACCTAAGAAGATGGTCATAATAAACTAAGTCAAAAGGACTACAATTTTGGAGAAACAAAAACCTCCTCTTAAAGGCTGAGAGTAAATATAACAAATATGAAAAGTGGAATGGTGGAATGATAAGAAATTATCACTTTATTGTTTTTCATGTTTTCTAAATTTAACAAAAAGGGCATTATTTTTAGAATCAGGACCCAAAATTTAAAATTAAATAGTAAATGTATTTATAAAATATGCTAGGAAAAAAGTATGAGACACCACTCACTTTAAAATACTGTTAGTATTTTTCAAATTGGCAAAAGATCCTTTCTTCCAAAACCTCTCTGGTCCCAAAAAGCCACTGTCACATGAAAGACAACACAAAACTACACTGGTATTAGCAATCTTTTCGAAAGCAACACTTTCTCAGCTTTTCAACAGCCAAGAACTTGCAAGTTCAAAGAGAGGAGAATTAGTATTTCTTCTACAGAACATATTGTTTCAAATATAAACAAAATTTAGGCAGTCATTTACCAAAATTACATCTCATCACAGATATGGAGATCAGACTTAAAACAGGATAATGACGGACTACATGAGAAATCTAAGGTGAAAACTGGTCATCTTTGAATTTAAGCTCAATAATATCATTTACAAGATTTTTTTCTGTAAAACTACAAAAACTACAAAATTTCTGTCAATCTATAGTTTAAGTGATGTTACATTTGATACACTGTGTTGATTTTAAATTTTTTTTTTTTTTTTTTTGCGGTACGCGGACCTCTCACTGTTGTGGCCTCTCCCGTTGCGGAGCACAGGCTCCGGACACGCAGGCTCAGCGGCCATGGCTCAGCGGCCTAGCCGCTCCACGGCATGTGGGATCTTCCCGGACCGGGGCACGAACCCGTGTCCCCTGCATCGGCAGGCAGACTCTCAATCACTGTGCCACCAGGTAAGCCCAATTTTAAATTTTTTAATTAGGGAATTCCCTGGCGGTCCAGTGGTTAAGACTCCATACTTCCAACACAAGGAACGTGGGTTCGACCCCTGGTCGGGGAACTAAGATCCCGCATGCCTCACAGCACGGTCAAAAAGAAAAAAAAATTTAATTAGTTAACATAAGCTGCAACTTCAAACACCTTTTAAAATTACTTTAACTTTTAGGAAAGTGTGTAAAAATAAAATTTAAAACTTCTCCAACAGTAATTTGGCAAACCAGATTCAATAGCTAACTGCTATCTTTCAACAACATTTTAAAAAGGTCACTGACTCAAGAAAGCATGAATTTTACCTAAGCCATATAAAGGAAAAGGAAGAACACATGCCTGTCAAAGAAAATTAATATGGAAAAAAATCATTAATTGGTAATTCTAAACTAGGATAGGGGCAGACACATTAAGAGTGATCTATTATATATGCTATCACTCTTAAAGCTAGATATAAAAATCTAAGAATGATCAAACCCCCAATCACCTATTTCACTATCCATACACATATTCCCCATATGGTTATACTTCCTTTGATTAGCTACCATAAAAGGTGACCTTGTGACTAACCTGTTTTTAATCAAGGAAACCTAATTATCCTGAGTTAAAGTGCAAAACAAGAACAGCAAACCTGAGTAATAAAACATTTAACATGAATGAATAATTTCAAATCATGACTTCTATTCCCTGCACAAATGCACAAAGTTACTTTTCTTCTTCCATTTTCTATCAATCATTTCTGGGGAGCAAGGGGGAGAAATGCTTCCCTAATATAGTAAATATATGAAAGTGCTTATAGCGTATATAATTCTACCTTTCTTCTCGCTCTGAAACTGTCAGCCATCACAAAAAACTAGTGAATTGAGAAACAACAATTTATTTACAAAAAATCTTAAATAAAATATTACACATTACATTTCAAATACAACACACTACACTTCCAGGAACAGAACCATGTACTAGTTAATCTCTTTAAGGAACAGGCTGGAAATCATTTAGCACAGTCCAAAGTTCTCCCAGTGACTTCAGATCCTTTTTTAGACGGTCGATTTTCAGGCACTTTTAAAGCGTAAATAATATGTTTACCCTGCTAAAATAATTCTTTTTCTTAATTGAAACCTGAAAAACTTTGAAAGAGAAAACATTTTGATTTATCTTTGTGAATGAATTATCAACAATTGTTTCATGGATTGTGAATAAGCTGCAATAAGAGGAAAGTGGAAAAAGAACCAAATGTGCACACCCTTAATCTTCACACACCTTGAAATACTACTGAACCTTGCTTTGGGAAACTTTCAAATAAAACCTCCCCCACTGCACTTCTCTAGAAAACAAGCTAATGAACCAACAAAATTCAATGTTTAAAGTTAGCGAGGCTCATTATAGCATTATTTAGGTCCATGGAGCTTAGCTGTGATGTAAAGACTACTCACAGTACTATGAGGGAGGCGTTGCTTACATCACTCAAGTGACAAGCCCCTTCTCCCTCAGCAAGGCGAAAAAACGACCCTAAAAAGTAATTTTTAAAAAGCCCATTTTCCATAAGAATTTTTAAAAACACCCTTGTAATTACTGCTTAACAAGGCCTCCCTAAAGTTATGCGTCAAGATGTTCACTTACTGAAAATTTGTCACCGGCTTAAAAAAATGTTTCTCAGCTTTTTTTTTTTCATTAAACTTTAGCCAGCTGGATAAAAATTACATAGTTTTAAAACCAAAGAGAGTAAACCAAATATATTTAGCCCTTGAGAGTGGCCAAAAGAAACATTCATGATAAACTCAGTTTTCAGGGACATTAATAAGGAAAAGAAAAAAATATGAGGCGGAATCCTGAGCGAAGCAAAGTTTAGCGAAGTGAGCGTTGAGGACTCCGGACTCTACTGAAACCGTGGGTGCTCCCCTGCCACCGCACTTGGCCCGGTCACTTCCTGCCCCGGCTGGCTCCGGGCTCTCGGCGACCGCTCGCTCACACACCATTGAGTGTGCAGTGTGTACACGGGGCAGAAAGGGGGAGGAGGAAGGCTGGAATCGCTCGGCCTCCCTCCCGACCGTTGCCCACACTCGGGGAAGAAGGGAGCCAGATCGCACTCACAGAATGGGCCTCGCCAGTGTCTTTCGGGTTTGGCAAGATCCGACAGTTCGCTACTCTCACGTCTCCGCCAAACTGTGTCGGGCTTTCAATAACACCACGAAGAGAAAGCCAAACGCAGAAGGAGGAAACCTTGCCCGCGGCCCCATTCCAGGCTCTTCGACAGATCTTGGGCGACCGCCCACCCTTCGCCCCATTGTTCCCCCTTAAGAATTCCTCCCGACCCCCAGCCCGCCGCCCCTCCCCCACCACAGCTGACGGGGGGTAAAAAAACAGGCCCCGAGGCCGCCCCAAACGTAGAGACTCGGCCGCCCCACCAGGGCCTGGCCTCTTCCCTCGGCCCCTGACTCACCCATCAAAATGCGCATCTGCTTCTTGCCGAAGAGACGGGAGAAGAGAGAGGAGATGGTGAGGCCCATGGCGGTAGTGGCACTTGCGATGGGCAGAAGCAGAAGGGGTTTGGCGCGACCCCGAGCCTTCTTTCACGCTCCCGGCAAACTCAGGGAGGAAAGAGGAGCTGAGGGCCGCAGGGACGGCTCGCCAGCCGGTGTGTCGGACGGAGCTCCCCTCCGGGAAGGAATTAACGGGGTGATGACCTGCTTGACGACTGGCGGGGCTGTTCCGGCTCTGGCGTTAAATGTTCGGCTATGCCACGTCACGCGGCAGCCGCGGCGACTCCGGCAGCAGCCCGGCCCCTCCAACGCGGACAGAACCGCGTCACCGTCGCCCCATCCCCCTGCGCTTCCGGCGCTGCCCGAACCAGTGCGCCTGCGCACCAGGGGAATTGGCCATCTTCACTGACTTGCGCCGCTGGCCGGCGTCACCCCCCCGGACGTGGCTCCTGGAGTTGGGCGAGGCCAGTCAGCCCCTGTGTAAAGGGCGACGGACACGGTCCCACACTGCCTCGCTTCATCACGTCCAATCAGACTCAAGGAGGGACGCTTCTGCGCAGGGAAATGCATCCTGGCGGTTGTATTCCTTGCTTCCGGAAAGGCGGGCTGTGCATTATGGGTTAGGTAGTGAACCTCCGTTCTTTCCGCCTCTTCAAGGGAACGCGCGTTGGGGATTTCTTGCTCTACGAAGGTACGCGGTTCACGCACGGGACCACACACTTGCCCTAATGGAGGGGTGAAAACGGGCCCTGCTTTCCCAAGAGATAACTTGTTAAAAGCTGACGTGCAGGGGAAGAGGCTGTAGCAACCCCATATGAAGCTAGGCTTAAACACCTCGGTCCCCACGCCAGGTCATACTGAAGATCCCTAATCCTTTGTCAGAACAAGAGAACTCCGAGACATTTTCGTCGACTATTGAAGCTTTTTAAGACAAGCCAACGGGGAAGGCTTTTCTTGTATCTCTTCTCTCCCAGAAGAAGCATGGAAGATTTATTCCTGATGTTAAGAAAGTGGAAAGCCTCCTCACTTAAAAAATATTTACGATCTTAGTGTTTTCCTGACTACAAAATAAGGTATACATCTTGTTTAAAATACACATATCTACACATATATCCGTAAGTTCCCCACAGTCTTCGCCTCCTACATACTTCCTCCATACTGTTGGTGCAGTTTAGGATTAGTAGCACCCCCGACCAACAACCCTTATGCTGGTTAAGTTATGCTCACCCACCTTTCAGATCTCTTTAGAGTTTAACTCCCTGGGAAAATACATTCTTGACCTACTAAATTACTCAGGCTCAAAAAAATGATAACTGCGCTTCACAGTTATGATTTCACATTTAATATTACTATTGACAACCCTCGTCCCCTCTCCCACTTGTCTGAAAACTATGAGGCCGGCCTCTAGCCCGTTTTTATATTACGTTGTTTTCGCTGGGCTTGGCACACCGCGAAACTCACATATGGTTGAATGATAGAGGGATAGCTGAATAAACTATGGTGTATCCATTACTATTCCTGAGAATACTCTCAGGAGTTAAAGGAATGTAGAACTATAAATTCTAATGAAAAGATCTCCGAGATACAGTTACTGAAAAAACGCCAAATAACGACTAAGTACCGTGAAGGAATATAAAAATGTAGATTTCACCCGGGGTGGGGTGTGTGTGTGTGTGTGTGTGTGTGTGTGTGTGAATGCAGAACAATAACTTTCAAGTAGAATCTGCAGTAATGATAGTTACTGGTTACCTGTTTAACCTGTGTGGAGTGAAGAGGGCACCTTCCCCAGAGTGAGGGAAACTAGTTTGGGAGTGGTAGTCAAAAGAGCTTTATCTATACTTTTAAAAATCCGCTTTATTGAGATATAATTTACATGCAACAAAATTCACCAATTCTAAGTGTACAATTCTATGAATTTTAACAAATGTATACAGTAGTGTAGCCAACATCATAATCATGATATTAATCATTTATATTACCCCCAAAAGTTCTCTCATACTCCTTTGTAGTCGTTCTCTTCCCTCACTTCAAGCTGCTGGCCAACCACTGATGTGCTGTCACTATAGACTTGCCCTTTCCAAAATTTCATGTAGGGGCTTCCCTGGTGGCGCAGTGGTTGAGAGTCCGCCTGCCGATGCAGGGGACACAGGGGA